CCTGACAAAATGATAAATTGGAGAGAAAAGGATCTTGGTATGACCAGGGCCCATTAAAGACTACTTTCTCTCTTTCTTTCTCTCTTTCTTTCATGCACATAAACATGCCCTCTGCCTTAAAAAAAAATTTCCAAGAAGTAAAATTCATAGAAGTAGAGAGTAAAATAGTGGTTATTAGGGGCTTGGGCATGGGGAAGTTTAAGGAGATGTCAGTCAAAGGATATAATTTCAGTAAAGAGGAGTAAGTTTAAGGGACATATTGTACAATATGGTGGATATAGTTAATAACAAGGTATTGCATGCTTAAAAATTGTGAAGAGAATAGATTCTAAATGACCTTACAACAATAAATATATGAAGTAATACGATTGTTAATTAACTAGATTTAGCCTTTCATAATATATACATATTCCAAAACATCATGTTATGTGCAATAAAGATGTTTTTTATTTGTGAATTTAAAAATAAATAAATAAGAATGAAGAATTAATAGAAACTTTATTTTAGAAGATATTGACTTTTAGGTTTCACTCCAGACATCCTAAATCAGAGTCTGCCCTCCAGGTAATTTTTGCAAACAGTGACTTGGTGAGACACTCTTCTGGAATATATCATTCATTGATTAGCAGCATCAGTAGTGCCTGGGAGCCTGTTAAAAGTGCCAATTTCTGGGTTCCACCTCCAACTTATGCAGCCAGAATGTGTATATATGGAGGGAACCCTCCATATATACACCTATATATGGTATCTGTGCTTCAGCAAATGTGCAAGGTAATTCATATGCACCTTAAGTTTTGAGAACAAGGACTGGTCTAGAAACCTATTAGTGGATCTTTACCCAGGGCTTTCCAATGATCTTTTGGCCCTCAACAGCGTGCCTTTTGACCATGTAATCACTAATTAATCTGGAATAGGTCAGGGGGTGGGAGGAATAAATCAATCCATTTTGTTTCCCAGTCAGATTTATGGTAAAGGTTTTGGAGGAAGCCACATCGTTAGAGTGAGATATTTAGGATTATCGATGGATTATAGCACTCCATGAAACACATTTCCTCCATTACCAAGGTTAATCAAGAGTAGACCATAAAAGCATTCCTCTAGAAAGGCTATTACAAAATATAATGCAATGCTGTCATGTGCCATACAGAATGACACATATCATGACACCAGAAAATAAAGACCACTTATTCCCTGAGAGTTTAAAGTACACTGAGTATGTCCAAGCAGAATTCTTTAGCAGAGTGCTAAAGACTTTTTTTTAAAAAATTGTAATGTTTTCTCAGGTTTTGCAACTTCGAATCTTTTCCTTAATTCTGTAGAACTTGTCAGTGACAATCGGTATGGCCAGAAATCAGAACATTCTTTTTATCATTTCCTTCTCACTGATTTGTACCTTTGCCTTTAAATGTGTTTGTTTTTTTAATCCTCAGAAGAAAACAAGAAAATTCATTAGAAAGTGTATGTGAAATTGAAACATTATTCATTGTTCTATATTTGTGTTTAGATAATCTGAAAGATGGATCACATTTTGATTCAGGGAATTGTACCCTATTTGAAAAGATGCCTGCCTGCCAAAAGAACATGCTGCTCACATATATAACAACGGCGCAATTTTATCATTCTCACGAAAGCTATAAATGTTCTACTTCAAGGTAAACATTTGAATTGCCCTAAAAAGTTCTTCTTAGCACTGCCAGCAGCTATACCCACCACCTACCCCTCCTCAGACCTGCTGGCATGTGCCGAATATGAAGAGTAAGGACACAAGTAGCAGTTCATGGAAAGCATGACTGATAAAATACCAGCAGAAACCGTGGAGAGGAGAAAAAAAAAGAAAGGAAGAAAAAAATTGTCCTTGGAAGTGCAAGCACTTCTGCAGAACAATTAACTTAATTAACCAGACATCATGAATATTCATAAGGCTGTTAATGTCTCCCACATCCAAACAGATAAATGTGATGTAATGACTTCCTAGTCAAGCATATCTAAAATTCTCATGAAAATGGCACCCACACTTTGGTTCTTTGCCTGAAATATCATAGAAATGAACAGTCCCTCGGCAATATTTTATTCTCCTCAAATTAATTGGAAAGCATGAATTTATTTATGCGAACTGTATAGGCATATATGGTTCACAGCTATCAGTATGTGGATTGAGCCTTGTTTTACAACAACTGGATTGCTTTTTTTTATTTTTATGTCCTCTCAGGCTTTTTTCTATATCACTCCCCCCTTTTAATCAGACTCTCTCTGTATAGTTCCTTAGTACCAGTTCCCATAGCAACAAACACCATTCCTAATGGCCAGCAGTTCAAATACAGGCTTCCCCACATCTGATCCATTTGAGTCTGACCATAATTCAGCAGCTTAGTCTGTTGGCTCAGTGGAGTAATTTACTAAACACTCTCCCTCTGGGTGTCTCTCTCCAGGAGGCAAATGGCTTCAAAGGCGGACTGTCTCATGTTCAGTGTGAAACTTCCTGCCTAGCTCTTATTCCCATTCTCTATCAAATGCCCTGACTAGGCATACAGTCTTCATATTAAACACATCCTACACATGATATTCTCCTCTTACTAGATGGAATGAATTAGTAAACTGTAACTCCTATTCCACAGCCAGAGTATTAACAGCAGATTGTATTTTTTTAAAACAGAAAGCATGTAAGTGGCATTTGTACAAGTATCTACTGAATACTTTCAAAATCAGAGATCTATTTAAAATGACAATTGTAATAAAGCTCAATGCTATTGCTTTGTAAAATCTGAGTTACATATGACAAACATATGCATAACCATCAGGTTTTGTAGCTAACTACCCATTATATGTCAAATTCATACCTACAGGGATACGCACCCTTCCCCTTTTGGTGCTCGGCAGTTTAGGAATGACTTCAGGAATTTAAGTACCAGAGAAGAGAGACAGTGACCTAAGTACACTCACTTTGCACGGAGGAAAGAGATGGTCAGATTTCACCATTATACTCAGAACTAGTAAAATGACACAAAAAGGTCAAAAAATAAAATGACAAGAAAACATGACCCCAAATACATCTTTTTGTCTTTGAGTTGAGCTTATTTGTCGTCTTCTGAGAAACTGCTATAAATTTTTGTCTATATACCTTACAGTTATCAGAATATATCTTAACTCTCTCTCCTTTTTGCTTTTATGAAAGACTATCCTCTAAAGGGCGTTTGGATAGCTTTTGTTCTTTGTCAATTAAAGGACAATACTAAATATACTGAAGCCCATACTACCGGAACATGGTTACCAAACAGAACGATTGTTTTCAAATGTGTTAACTATTTTATTATATTCATACGAAAAAAACAGTTTTTCTTTTTTTAGCAGTGGTAATGGATGACTTTTTAGTAAGTAAAAAAATCAATTTCCTTTGCTAAAGTTTATTTCAATCATACTTTGGGATAAGTGACTTGATCACATGATACACTTGAGAAAGGTATTTTCCTCTTTTTCTGGATCACAGTGCTTCTGTTAATAGAAGTCTGACCAACCCACTTTACCCTAATCATTATGCATCTTGCTCAAAAAAAAAAAATCCTCCTAGACAAAACTCTATTCTAGAGGCTTCCTTGCTCTGAAACACCCCATTATTGCCTACTGCTTATCAAATACCATTCAGACTCCTTACTGCAGCATGCAGGCACCTTTACTGACATTTTCACACCTTTTTCTCTCAGAGAATGACCTGTTTTCTATTCCTTAAACACTCCTGGATTTTGCCTTTGATTCAATCATTTTTGCATCCAAGAAAATAATTTATTCTCCTCTTTTTGGACTGGATCCCATTTATTTAAGACCTAATTCTAGCGTTACTTACTCAATAAATCTTTACAGTGTACACTTAGCAAACTTCATTGATCACTCACTCTGTCTTGTTCTATTATTTTAAAGATTTATTTTATTTTACTTTATTTATCCATTTATTTATTTTAATTTGAACAGAGAGGGATATAGTGAGAGAAAGAGTGAGAGAGAAAGTGAGAAAACAAGCCACCAGGTCTTGTACTCAAACTGCAGTCGGCCACATGGGAGTCCAGCACCCTTAACCACCATGCCACCTGCCGGCCCCTGTCTTGTTCTATTCTAGTTGCTAGAGACACAGCAGTGAATAAAGAGATAAAAAGCCTTGACCTTGGGTAGCTCATCTTCCAGCAGCCTGACTCTCTTTCTAGTCAGAATTAATGCTCTTGGCATTTTTAAGGTTATCTGATTATACTTTAATTATGGGAATTATCTTTACCTCATGTGAAACTATTGAGTTGTCAAGGAAGTCATATTTTTTCTATGCAAAAATGCATCATGATTTTTCTGACAACCCAATGTAAACAGCTTGACTAGAGTGGTGTTCTTTCAAAACTTCGTATCTAGGGAACCAGCAGTTAGCGTAATGGCTATGTCGCTGGACTCCCACGTAGTCGACCGCGGTTCGTGTCCCGGACTCGGTGGCTTAAAACTCACGCCGGGCACGTGTGCATGCATGCCCAAGATCCCGAGAGGAGAATGGAGGAGAAGGGATTGCGGCATGACCATCCCCCCTGGGGGGTGATTTCTCGCTTTCTGTCTCTATGTCTCTCTCTTTCTGGCGAGCACATGCGCCCTACAGTGAAAATCTCTAAAAAAAAAAAAACTTCGTATCTAGTGTTATGTGGCCATTGGATCTTTATGGGCATATACAGTAACAATAATCCCATCTATTACTTGTTTAACTATGTATTAAATCCTTCACCCACTAACTTAATACCACAATAATCTTGCAATGAAATGACTACTCTGTGTTATTACTATTTTACAGATTAGAACATTAAGGCTCAATATAATTACATGACTGGTCCAAAGTTTTGCACTTGCTAGTGGGGATACAAGAAGTCAAGCTTGAATATTTCAGTGTACGTTTAACTGTTAATAATATCCAGGTTAAGACGTAAGGATGGGAAAAACGGAGGGGAGACAGTTTAGCAAATTGGTGGCCATTCCCTTGCCTGCCGGAATTAAGCCCAGTGGAAGCTGTGATCTGACAGGAGTCAGGATTCGGTCTGTTTCCATCCCAGCATTCTTCTGGGCTCTCAGGAGCAAAGCATGAGCTACTTCACTAGCAGAACCATCTCCACCAACACAGACGACACTAGGAAAAAAAAGAAAGAAAGAAAGAAAGAAAGAAAGAAAGAAAGAAAGAAAGAAAGAAAGAAAGAAAGAAAGAAATTTAGCAAAAGATTGCAAAACTTCAAAATAATTGGAAATCATTCATAAAATCTCAACTTCAAAATATTTTACTAATCTTGGGACCAGCAGTTAGCATAATGGCTATGTCTCTGGACTCCCACGTAGTCAACCACGGTTCGTGTCCTGGACCCAGTGGCTTAAAACTCACTCCGGGCACATGTGCATGTGTGCCCAAAATCCTGAGAGGAGAGTGGAGGAGAAGGGATTGTGGTGTGGCCATTCCCCCTGGGGGGTGATTTCTCACTTTCTGTCTCTGTCTCTCTCTGTCTGTCTGGTGAGCGCACGTCCCCTATAGCAAAAATCTCTCCAAAAAAAAAAAAGAAAGAAAGAAAGAAAGAAACTTAAAGATGCAAAATAATCTTAAAAATCAAAATGTCATCAATGTATCCCCAAAGGAGGAGGACTGTGCATTATTAAAAGCTGGCATCACATCTTAAGAATATGCTTTAGGGGACCAGCAGATGGCGTAGTGGTTACATCACTAGACTCCCACATGGCTGACCACGGTTTGAGTCCTGGATCTGGTGCTTTGAAAATCCTACTGGTTGCCTGTGTGTGTGTGTGTGTGTGTGTGTGTGCCCAAGATCCTAGGAGGAGACTGGAGAAGGGATTGATCATCCCCCTTGGATGGTCATCCCCCTTGAGAAGGTGATTTCTCACTTTTCCTCTCTCTCTCTCTCTCTCTCGCACGTGCACCCTAAGGCAAAAACCTCTCCGAACAAGAAAAAAGAGGATGTTTTGTGTTTTAGACTCAGTTGGCACCTGTGGTCCCAGCGAAGGAAAGGATATGCTCAGCCTAATGGGGCATAGCTTCACAGCTCTCACTCGCTCACATCACCAGGGACTTCAGCAGAACCAGATCTTCTGAGTTGTCCAGAGAAGTCAGAGACTGTGATTTTAGGGTGAGTCTCTTAACTTGCAACTAACAGCCTCTTCTCACACAATGACCTGCCTGTTTAATGACCACTCAGACTTATCATCAGTTCTCCAATGTTGGGGAATCCCCTTTCGGTCTTTGTCTTGCTTCCATAGGACTACGTGAAGTATTCGCAATCACACAAGACTGTATATTTCACTTGTAAGTTTGTACTTTATTGTGTATTCAGAGTAGTATTTAGAATAAATAAAAGTAGGGACCAGCAGATGGCATAAAGTTTATGTCACTGGACTCCCATGTAGTCAACTGTGGTTTGAGTCTCAGACCAGGCAACTTAAAACTCATGACCAAGATCCTGAGAGGAAAATGGAGAAGGAATTGCAGCATGGCCAATCCCTTTGCAGGGTTATTTCTTGCTTTCTGTCTCTCTGTTCCTCTCTGTCTCTCTTTGTCTCTTTCGTGCACTATAACAGCAACTCCTCTCTTAAAAAAAAAAAAAAAAAGACAGAAAAGCACATAACCTATGGTGCCGTAACACACTACAAGACATCTCCTTGCTTGTCAAACAATTCACTTAATGACCTAGTCATAGGAACAGAACTCAGTCATTAAATGAGGAGTACCTGTTCTAGCTACTAGAATAGCATTAAATATAATTAAAAAAAAAAAAGAAACACTTCTATGTGCCAAACAAAATAATCTGTGCATCATAATCAGCAGGCATTACTCTTGCTTACATTTAGGAAGCTCTTAACTCCAAAGAACTTGACTTGGGGCCAGCAGGTGGCATAGTGATTAAGATGCTAGACTTGCCTATGGCTGACTGTGGTTTGAGTCCTGGACTCGGTGGCTTGAACTCACTCTGGGCATGAGTGCCCAATATCACAAGAAGAGAATGGAGGAGAGGGGATTGCAGCATGGCCATCTCCCTAGGGAATAATTTCTCACTTTCTATCTCTCTGTCACTCTGATGAGCAGAGAGCCAAAAAGCAAAAATCTTTCCAAAAAAACAACTTGACTCTTCCATGTACAAGATGACATTATGGCTCCTGGAACCTCTCATCCAGTTACAGGACTGTGCTATGTTGGCAGAGACAGTAGAGATGGCCTTTCTGTGAGCATGCTCTGTCATAAGAACCTTTAAAATTTTGTCATAACATATTCTGTGTTAGCCCTTTTGAAAGTAATACAAATAATGATCATTTAAAAAATAAAGTAACATTTAGTGAACAATTGCTATGTAAGCCAGGCACTCTTCTCAGTACTGTCCTGGTATTAACTCACTTAATTTAAGTTAATACTTAATTCGGTTTACAGACTGGGAAGCCACACATAGGAAGATTAAGGCACCTTCCCAAGGTTGTACCACCAGAAGTGATAGAACAGAGATTGGAAGAAAGACAATTTGCCCTTAGAGACTACACTCCTATTTGATACATCATACTTCTTTTCTGTATATAAAAATAGTCTATGGAAATTATGTTTTGAAAAGAAGTTTACCTATAGAAGCAATATGAAATTGAATGAGTTGGAAAGAAATATATTTACTTGTGTGGACAATTACAAAATCGTAAGATCACATCCAGGTATAGTTACTCAAATGAGGAAATAAGCATTTTTTTAAGTTTTGTATCTAATTTATGTCATGGTGGGTGGCAGGGCACTCCCAACAGGCTCTTTACAAACACAGGACCTATTCATGTGGGTCCACCATCATTCATAGAAATTCCGTTACCACAGAGCCACAGTCTGGTTTTGGAATATGCCTGACACTAGCCATCAGAAGTGTCTGGATAATACAAGAGAAAGCAAAAAAATTAAGAACAGACTTTTTAATAATAATATAAATTGATCAAACTTAAAAATTACTCTAAGGACCAGCAGATGGCGTAATGGGTACATCACTAGACTCCCACATAGTCAACCATGGTTCAAGACCCAGACCAAGTGGCTTAAAGCTCATGCCAGGTGTGTGTGCCTGCATGCCCAAATTCCTGACAGGAGAACAGAGGAGAAGGGATTGTGACATGACCATCCCCGTTGGGAGTGATTTCTCATTTTCTGTCTCTGTTTCTCTCTCTGCTGAGCGCACACCTTACAGCAAAAATCTCTCAAGGAAGAAAAGTTACTCTAAAAAAAAATCCTTTACATATCATAAATCTTGAGTTTTCTTGTTTGTTTAGCTTTGTCATAGGGTGCATGCTTTCACTGGAGAAAGAGAAAGTGAGAAATCACCCCCTGTGGGGATGGCTACTACAATTCCTTCTCCTCCATTCTCCTCTCAGTATTTTGGGAATGCATGCATACACACCTGACATGTTTTTCAAGCCACCTGGTCCAGGATTTAGACTGTAAAGTAGGCCATGTGCGATCCAGCCTCCTCAACTAATAACCACCAGCTGACCCTCTTATTTCTCTTTTTAAAAACTGATAAGAGTGGGGAACCAGCAGTTAGCGTATGGCTATGTCGCTGGACTCCCACGTAGTCGTCTGCAGTTTGCATCCCGGACCCGGTGGTTTAAAGCTCATGCCGGGCGCGTGTGCGTGCGTGCCCAAGATCCCGAGAGGAGAATGAAGGAGAAGGGATTGTGGCGTGACCATCCTCCCTGGGGGGTGATTTCTCGCTTTCTGTCTCTATGTCTCTCTCTGTCTGTTTGCGAGCACAAGTGCCCTATAGCGAAAAATCTCTCCAAAAAAAAAAAAAGAAAAGAAAAAAAGACTGATAAGAGTGTATTTAAAATGTGTGTCTTTATATTTGTCTATCAACAAATATTATCTTTGAAATATTGCCTATATTATTGGGCTTTTAATTCAGAGTTTTTCTTTTTGGGAAAGTATATATATAGATGCATAAATACATGTTTATATACAAATATACATATTTTTAACCACACTAAGTAATGTATATATCGTGGTCAGATAAAACATTAATGTTAGCCAAATCATGTCTATATTATTGTGAGTCTCACTAATGAGGAAATAAACAAAAGAAAAATTATCATTCAAAAACCTTTTTAAAACTGTGAAACAAATAGCAAAGAATTAATACATTTATGATTTCATGAAAGCTACAGATTTGTTTAACTGCATTTACACTTACAAATGCAACTGTTACTGCCTCAAGTATATGCAGCTGAGATTTTTTTCTTCACTTTTACAAAACTTCCTATTCATGCCCAGTATAAATAGGGGGCAATATGGAATCTGAAGCTTCTACAAATTTTAGCTGTGGATCTGAGAGTGTTTGCTAGAACAAGCTGGAGTGAAGCACCAGCTGCCATGAGAACTGACACAGTTTCTGTTGGCTTTAGAAATATGTCACAATGTGTCTTTATAGGAACATATGTAACTCATTTTTTTAAAAATCCCCAAACACATTATTTACCAAATTATTTTGCTTTACTGAAACGTTCACAGAATCTCTTTCGGATCTTAACGTCTTTGGTCTGTATCTAAAAACAATGATTAGGTAATTTTCTATGTCTTCTATCAACAATTCTACTAGAGTCAGGCAGAAATATTTCAAGCTGAAGTTCTCACAGGAATGTGAGCCTCTCTCACAATCTCATAGCCTACCCTTAAATATTTTCTATAAATTTTTGAAAAAGAGTTCCTATATCCACAGGTACACAGATAGTGAACTCAACAACAGAACATTCCATTGTCAAGCAATTTTACTTGTTAGAGAATTATTCTTGTGAAAAGCCTACAGGAACTGTTTCCATCATTCTCCTCATAGACATCGCTCTATGTAAGTCTAAGTACAGTCACCCCTCCGACCAGTGATTTTGGTTTTCTGTTTCAGTTATCCTTAGGTAACTGTAATCCAATAATATTAAACAGAAGATTTCAGAAATAAACAATTCATACTTTTTAAATGCTACATCACGATGTCTATGTCATTCCTCTCGTTTTATCTTATCATGTAGCATCTCACATCACAAGTGAATATAGGACAATAAGATATTCCGAGGGGGAGGAGAGAAAGGGAGGGAGAATGGAAGGGAGGCAGAGGGAGACAGAGAGAAAGCAAGAATTCATTCATATAACTTTTATTACAGTATATTGTTATCATCAGTTTTATTACTTATTGTTGTTAATCTCTTCAGTGCCTACTTTATCACTTAAACTGTATCACAAACATTACGTATAGGAAAAAACACAGTATACATAGGGTTCATTACTATCTGCCGTTTCAAGCATCCATGGGGTCTTGGAACATACCCCTGTGGATAAGGGAGTACTACTGTTTAGTGACTTAAAATGATCATTTCCTTAAGATCATTATCCCAACCACTGTATCAACTTTTACTGGGAAAACGGTGTACATGAAGCATAAATAGATTTTGTGCTTAGACTTAAGTCACCATTCCCAAGATACCTTGTTAGGGATAGGCAAATATTCCAGAATCCAAAAAAGTGTGAAAGTCATAGCACTTTTCGTCCCAAGCATTTTGAATAAGGTATATTCAATCTGGAAGACATTCAACAGAAAATTCATGATGCTGATGGGCAAGGACAGGTTTAGTATCTGTGGTATCTGTTTTTCTCATTATTTATTGTTAAATAATCAAGGTTTGAAGGAAGGACTCATTTGCAATGCAGCTACCCAATGAGTTCTGGTTTGAAGTCTGCACTATCTTAAAGCAGATAGTGGGCATGGTTTTTCCAACTACTTTTCTTAACTTGTTTATGTTTGCAAGATAATTTCCTAAATGCATTCTATTAATTATTTTGTTTACCTCTAGGTATATAGCTTTGAAGTAAATCTCCTACCTTCTACTCTTGATTCTCAATACTTACATAATATTGTCATTTACATTTACTCTCCTTAATTAAACTTCTTTTTGAAATGTCATGTTTTACTTCTCAAACTTTCTTTCTCACCAGTTATTGTTATCTTCTCATCAAAAAATATTAAGCATTTCTGTAAAACAACCCTGCCAACGGCCCACTTTCATTGCATCACTCCATGCTAACACTATCTCAGTGTTCTTTTTAAATCAGATTTTCACTTTGGTAAAAGTGCAGACCCTTTCCTGACCTTGTAAGTTCTTTATTGCCCCCTGCCTATAATCTTGTGACACAAATAATTCCCATGCTTTCTATCTTCTTAGACTCACAAATATCTACCCTTGCAAAAAGTTGTTCTTAAAGGAAAGAAGTTTAAGCCTTACACACCAATCCAGCACTTTAGCGAACTGATTTACCTAATTTTTAAAATGGCTAGTAAATTTATGTCACTTGCTCTCTTACTAATGTTTGCACAGCAGTGAATCATCTCTGCATGTTCCAGAAATATATCATAAACAATAGTTTACAAAAGCTGGTATAAATAATGCACATGATTGGTACTCAGGAGAGGGGCTGGCAGGTGGTGTGGCAGGTAAGGGTGCTGAATTCCCATCTGGCTGACCACAGTTCAAGTCCCTGACCTAGTAGCTTGCTTTCTCTCTCTCTCTCTCTCTCTTTCTCTCCTTCTCTCTCCTTCTCTAATCAAAATCGAATCAAATCAATAAATAAAAAATTCTTTTTAAAAAAATTTGCAAAAGAGGTTCAAAGTATAGTTATGCCACATATGATCAATGTAATATTATCTATCAAAGCTGTTCTACATACTCACATAGTAAAAGCCAAAAATCAAGAATTACAGATTGCAATGTGTGCACATTAGGTAAGCATAGGGGAGCACACTGTGATATCCCAGTACTTATCACTAGATTCCTCCTTCTGCTTTGTATGCCAGATCCTGAGAGGTGGATAACCATGTCATATTATCATTAATTTTATATCTGTATAACACATTAAAATATTTACATATATAAATATATTTCTATATATTTAAATGTAATTACATACATTACAAATATTTTTAAATTATAGGTCCCAAATATGTAGCCAAAGACTAACAAGACATCTAATAATATAAGCTACGTGACATGAATGGATTAATAAAATAACCTACCCATCAAATCCCTGGAGTTCACATTCTTTAAGCAGTGACAGAGCATGCCCCTCGTATTCCGTTACTATTTAAAAAACACACACACAAAAGTGAAAGTTTTAAACAACAATGTACTCTTTTTAACATGGTTTGGCAAAATAATAAGATAAACATATGGTCAGGTCATAAAACAATATTTATTCTTGCGTATTTATATTTTAATCATGAAAAGAGGATTAAGTGTTAGTTGCTTGATATGTTTTATGGTTTTATGTAAACGAGGGTCATATATTTCTTCTAACTCTCTAAGTCATTAGGGGATATCCTATACATATTAGTTAGAAAACGTGTCTTGGTGCCTGTCTGTTTAGTGTTTCCTAAATAAGTCATATTGCCTTTAAATCAAAAGCTTAGGAGCAGCAGTATTTTGAAAATAAGGCATATTAGCTGGCATCGAACAGTCAATGTTAAATCACTTTGGCAACCTTACATGAATAAATTAGTTGAAAGGTTAGCATAAGATTTACATACCAGAAGAATGTGTATCCAGAACTGCTAGACTAAAAAGAGGAGGAGTTGGATGTGAAAACGCGAAGTAAAGCCAACACCCTGGTAAGAGATCCAAACCTGAGGAGGAGGGTGGCGCACGGGCCCACCAGAGCCCAGATCCTCTGAGAAAATGAATCTGTCATTCCGTATTGCTGTCTCCACAGTCACTGATGCCCTATGCAGTATTGTAAATGCCAGGGAAGACAGGATAAACGGGCACACTGCAGATGGCACCAAGCATCACAACCACATTTAGCATTTTCTAGGGCAGCTTTGCCAGAAGAGACAGGCCAGCTGCAACCACCCATCAAAGATTTCTGCTGACTGACATGACATTGCAGATGGATTTTTTGTGTAAGAATGTGCATCATTATATGCAAGATTACATTAATCTTTCATGCCTGTCTGTCCCTGGTGCCAGCATGGTTCAAGCTTTTCCTACCATGTTTTTAGATATTGTTAACAATTATTAGTCTTGGTGTCTAAAAGAATCATTCTGTATCCAGCAGTATAACATTATAATTCTGCCATCGCTTATTCAAAGTGCCACCACATGCACAGAAATAAATCTCTCTATATTAAACTCTAACAGAAGAAAGTTATAATAAAGCTACATATAAAATGATAACATTACTACGGTTTGAAGGTTATGCTTTCACAAAAGGTATATGCTGATCATTATTAACCACAGCAAGTAGCTGTAACCTTAAAATGCAAGATAGTAAAATATCTTATATACACACAGTAAAAATAATATTTAAAATACTTTCTTCATAATCAGCAAGTTATCAAGAAATATCTATGTCGAGAATCAGTTTATTAAGTTTTACCTTTATCCTAAATCATACTGGGTGAAGTTTTTCAAATTCAATACAAAATTAGCTCGAAGTTATGTTATGACTGAGTGCTATTTTTATTTAGAAAAATGTTTTAAATGGTCTATTTTTTTCTTCGAGCTTTTGGGAAAATTTTGATTATACACTAAATCAAACTGTCCGAGTAGTCATTTTGGAAGTGGAATTGTAAAAGTTAAATCATTGATCTGAAACAGAGAGTCAAGAATGAAGAAATCCAACTACCTTCATCTACATATAAAATATGTTAACAGAACAAATTAAATTAAAAAGTCTTTGGCTTCAGGAAGTTTCCGTCTAGAGAAAGGTAATATACACTAACTAAGATGAATGTATAATAATTTGTAGTAATTAGTGATTATAAATAGGGCAAAAAGATCAAGAATAAGCTGGGCCTCTGAATAGACACAGTAGAAATCAGATGAGATGTGGTTGGGACACAAGGAAACATTTCTTGGTCTAGTGATAAAATTCAGTTATGGGATAGGATATTAAAATGTCATTTTCTTTCGTGTCTACAGGTAGTTCAAGCTAAGTAAGCTTAAAACAGAATCTATCATATTTACTTTCAAATATACAAATATTGTTCTCTTTGTGTTTCAGTTTACCCTCTCCAAGACTAGAAAATGACTCCTTACTAGATCATCCTTTTTTTCTATTCTCCAGAATCATTCTAAGGGCAAGATCAGTTGGTTCTTTCTGCTTTTGCTTCTTTTTTTTTTCTTTTTTTGAGAGAGATTTTTTTGTTACAGGGTATGTGTGCTCACTGGAGAGACAGAGAGAGATGGAGAGGCAGAAAGCAAGAAATCACCACACCAAAATCCTTTCTCCTCCTTCATTCTTTTGGGATTTGGGGCATGCACGCACATGCACCCAGGGTGTGAGTTTTAAGCCATCAGGTCCAGAACTCAAACCGTGGTCAACCAAGTGAGAGTCCAGTGATGCAACCATTACTCCATCTGCTGGTCCCATTTTTACATTTTAATTTGCCAGGTGGCTCATGTGCTTGTGGAGGCAGGGGTGGGGGAGGAGGGAAGAAAGAGAGAAAGCTCCCCCTATAGAGAATGGCCATGCTGAAATTCCTTCTTCTTCATTTTTCCTTCCTTTTGGGATTATGGGCATACACGAGTGCACGTGTACCTGCATGTTTTTAAAGTTGCCAGGTCAGGAACTGTGCAATTGACCATGTAGGATCCAGCTCACATAACTGCCAGGACATGGGCTGGCCTGGTTGTGTCTCTTAATGATGCTGCAGCATCCCACCATTCCTCACAGCTAATATACAAGATATTAGTCACTACCATCTTTCATGTGAATACTGCAACAACCTCTTCACTATTCTCCCTCCAACTTCTCTTCATTGTAGCCACAAAGATCTTTTCAAACACATATTTAATCATATCACTTTTTTGTATGAGCGCCATTACAGACTCTTCACTGTCCACAGGAATAAAGGCTCAAATCCTAACTCACTTCTGAGTTTAGGAACAGTATTGGTCATATACATCCACAATTATGTAAGGGGTAACAAAATAATCTTTCATCCCTCATTCTCTCTCTCTCTAGATGGATACTATGCATGAACATTTATGATACATATTTTTATTAAAATGCAGGTAAAATCGGATGCTCTGGGTACTAGCATCTTCTGTGACATAATTTTATCAGAGTGCCTCACTTTGTTGGGTGAGAGTAGGATTAGCAAGAAGCATTTCCAAGAAGGGGAAGACTTCAAGTAGTCATAAAGAGTTAAAGAACATAAGAAACAATACAATGAGACTTTGTAAAATGGTCAAAAGTTAGAGGCAGAGTCTAGCCCCCATTTTCTTGACAATTCTGCTCATGAGGCAAAATTGTCTAGTGACTAGCACTCCTCTGGGCTCTGAACTAGCAGAGATCAAGGCTGAATTCATAGAAACATCTTCAACCATGATCATAACCATAATAAAATCTAGCAGCTTTGTTAGTACAAAGAGGGACTGAAAGAGTTGGATGTGCCTAACACAAGAGATCAAGAGCAGCATGTCTGACTTAAAATTTCTCAGTGACTCACATACTAGATGAGATATAATTATTTTGTATTACCAGAAAAGATGACATTACCTCTGGCAGATAAAAACTAAAAGGAGGTAAGTGTCGGTTCACTAGTTCTCTGTTGTATAATGTATGCCAAGCACCAAAGGCATCTGGCCAAAAGGGCAGGTGGATTTATAGTCTATCCAGTGCTTTTGATTGACAAGCTATGTGACCCAGAGCTGAACTGGCCCAAGAAAGGGCATCTTAAGTCAGCACAGAGGACCTTTAATCATCTGTACAAAGGCACAGTAACTGTACTCAAGAGAAGAATGTAGAACAGTATTGTCCAGTAACAACATACTCTACCTCTAGTGTAGGTAGTTAGGATCCAACCATGAGAGCTGCTATATACCTGTGATCCACCACATGGGACATGCTGAACTCCATGACCTCTAGTGTTCTCTTCAGTCTGATTTCACTGCTGCCTAGACTTTTTGACTTTATCGTTCCATAAATGACTCTAAATCTCTCGTCAAACCCGGGAACCAGCAGTTAGCGTAATGGCTATGTCGCTGGACTCCCACGTAGTCGACCGCGGTTCATGTCCCGGACCCGGTGGCTTAAAACTCACGCCGGGCGCATGTGCGTGCGTGCCCAAGATCCCGAGAGGAGAATGGAGGAGAAGGGATTGCGGCGTGACCATCCCCCCTGGGGGGTGATTTCTCGCTTTCTGTCTCTATGTCTCTCTCTGTCTGTCTGGCGAGCGCACGCGCCCTACAGTGAAAATCTCTCAAAAAAAAAAAATCTCTCAACAAACCTCTCACATCTTTAATGGTACAATCTCTAAAACCTGCTTTGTTTGGGGAGCAAGAGAAACAAAGGGTATCATATGCCAATGTGTGCTTATCATCCAGGTTATTCTTTAGTTTATGTACAATAGGTTACTAGGAAAAATTGCTCAGGTCTTTCTGGGTCCTTCTGGAAGTTTTTCTGATAATACCATTAGATATGGTACTCTACAGTTGGTGGTAGCAGAGTGGGAATGCAATGTGAACTCAGATATGTTAAAAGATGCTGATCTATAGAAGTACTTTGTGTTTCAGCACAACCCCAAAATAAAAGGAGTAAGTATATTTTTACTAATGTGATGAGATCTATTTTTATAAAAAAATCAACAGAAAAATTACTTTTTAATCTATATATCTAGCTGTAATCTTTCTAATCATGCCTTATATTTATATAGCCCTATTTCACATTTATTATGTAATTTGTGTTCCATTTGAACTCATCAGTGCACACAAAGATACATTAGAATAATGGCCACAGACAAGTCAGTGGTGTGGTGGTTAAGGCATCTGGATCCCACATAATGGACTGTATAGTTCAAGTCTCAGACCTGGTAGCTTGAAAAATATGCTGGGCCTGTGTGCATGCATGCCCAAAATCCTGAGAGGAGAATTTTAGAAAAGAAGGGATTGCAGCATGGTCATCCCCCTTGAGGGGGGACACGTGGTAGGAGGCTGCTTTCTTATTTTTTCTCTCACTCTAGTGAACACTCATGCCCTATAGCAATCAAAAATTTTTTTAAAAAAAAAGGTCACACTGATCATGCAAAAGATATGTCCTTTACCCTTTTATCTAGCATATTTTTTCTTTCAAATAAAGTGTGGACTGAATTATATAACATATTTTTTTAAACTGACAGCATTGCTATTTCCATAGCACTTTATAAAATAAAATGTAGTTTCAAATATATTATCGTATTTGAACGACAAAACAGCACTGTAAAGTAAGCAGAAAGACCAACTTTTCAACTACCTACATGCTTATTCAGTCCTTCACACAAAATAGAAAACACTTTAAAATATTTAGCAACATACATACTAAAATGGTTTTATAGCAAAGGATGCAATTTTATCATTTTGTCTGTAGGAGGAGTGTAGGCAGCTAATAAGTAGACATTCTGCATAAATATGTAAGTAAATTGTTTTATATCGTATTTTAACTTTGTTTTATAATAAACTAATACAAGTCAATAATATTTACAAATTTAGGATAAAACCCTGGATCATAATATTTTTCTTTCCAATATAATTGTTTTAAGAAGGAACACACATTACTATTGTGTCCTCTGCCTCAGTTCAGGCTTCCTATCTATACCAGTTTCCTATTCTCTAATCTCACTCTTGTTGTTTCTAATCCTCTTTCTTCTGGTGATATCATCTTTGCCAAACCAGATTCCAACACTGTGACAAGAAAAAATTTACACTAACTGTAGATCAGTACATAACAAAAAAACTGCAGAGTGGAACATAAAGACCCACCCATAACCTGGACTCAAACTTCCTATAGTATACATTGGTGAGAGCCTTCGAGAGACCATTTTGTCCTTTCTTTGCCCTAACAGAATCTAGATTCAGTTCAGGCATATATGCAGCTTTCTGGAAAAGGAGGTTTACCTTCAACCCCTGGGAAGGGTTTTGATGATTAAGTGAATGATTAGTCTAAGCTGGGCACAGCCACCATATTAGCACAGTAAAACTGAGGAAGCGGGGAAGAAAGAAGGAAATTTTAATTTTAATCTGTCTAGAGGATTAAAGCATGTTGCGTTTCTCTTTAAATATATACCCCTCTCCTCATTACATTAGATATGAATGTGAAAAGATCTAATTCACTGGCAGCTATTTTACGATAAATCTGAACTAGGCCCATGGCATAGTGGTTAAGAGAATCAAATCTCATAAGGCCAACTGCACGATTCAAATTCTGGCTCTGGGGCCTTGAAAAACATGTTGGACATATCCCGAATTCCAACAGGATGGAGAAATAGAAGAGAAGGGACTGCATGTGACTATGCTCCATTAGGGGGTGCTTTATCCTCTCCCTCTGGCAAACACATTAGGCCTCTGGCAAAAAAAAAGAAAAAAAAATGTAAGATAAAATCAAAACTGTGAAAGGGATTAGCTCCATGGTACAGCAGTAATGTTCTGCTCAAAAAAGAAGCTGGATCTCACCTGAACCATGATTTGAATCCCTGGTCCAAGTCCATGTAAAATCACACTGGACACATGTGCAAGTGCCCAAGATCCAATGGGTTGGAGGACTAGAGGAAGGTCCAAGAAGGACTGGAGGAAGCTGCTGCCCCACCCCCTGCCTTCTCTTTCACACTCTCCCATGTGTACAAGCATGTGCTCTCATGAATAAAACAAAAGAATTTTAATTGAGGAAGATAGAACAGTTATGGAACAAATTCCCCATGTATTTTGAGTCTGCTGTGCATACATACAGATTCCACTTGTACAGATCCATTAGCCTATCTTCCTTCTACCACTTTTTATTTTTTGCCTTTTAAAAACTGCCTAGTTCAAATGTTTTTGTTGGGGCTTCTGATCAAAATTAATATCACCCTTGAGACAATACAGTCCTTTAACGTATATTCCAATTGTATTATTTAGTTTCAAATATCTGTTAGAATCTCTAGTAACCTAAAGATCACTCAAGAGCAGGCAAATCGTTCCATCTTGCGTTCTGCAGTGTTTAACACAGAGCAATCATCCAACAAGAGCTGCTCCAGCTGAATGATTTATAGTAAGATCCACATCAAGCTGTTTTATAGTATTTGCATATTAATCAATGAAACAAAATAATGTTATTGTGTTTGCCACAATTTTATTCAAGTACTTGTCTCATCTTAGTATAGATCTCAAACATTTCCTCCAGCCAATTTAAAAAGTCTTCAATAGAAAGAAGTGATAGATTTGAATTTTCTCTGTTTTGGAAGTCACTTCTAAATAAGCCAAAAGCGACAAACAACCTTATTTTAATTCAGAAATGTCTCTTTATTTTGAATGATTATTTCTTTTGAACCTTGGAGCAGATGCCTTTTGTGGGGCCTGGCTTTCCCACAAAGTTTGCCCTTTGTGAAGAACTTCCTTCTTTCTCAGTCCATCGGGTTATGACGTCAGGGCTGTAATGTCCTTATTTACATTGTGAGACCCATCTCCCTTGGTTACGGCGCAGCCTAGCCGGACCACTCTGAATCCCTTTCCGAGAACTCACACTTTGAAACTACAAGGTTCCAGTTGCACTTGGCCTTGTCTCCTGAGTAGGTTTATTACACAATATTCTTCATTAGTTAAAATGATTGCAGATTTACATTCTATTCATGAAGCTACATAGAAGTAAAACTAGGAAAGTGGTGATCCTCTAAAGCAGCAACCCTCCTTTCTCAATTCTGCCAAAGGAAAAATGAGTGTCTCAAAGAAACAGAGAAATTTGGTCGAAAAGTCTGAAAGAACACTACTAAGTCCTTTGTATTAATTTTACCATGAACAAAGTTCCATTTTGCTTGGCATAAACCTAAGCGCATTTATTACTTTAGACAATGAATTCAAGCTCCCAGCTCCTCGCATTTCATCTACAACCAGCAGTTAAGTGCTTAGTTTTGACCTAACCAGCAGGGGTCAGAGTCAGAACAAAAACAACCTAATGAAGGATGCCACAGAAAGACATCAACTAGACAAGTGAGCAAAAATCAGTTGCTTGCGAAATGACAGAAAAGAATGTATAACTAGCAAACACCTCGGTGACGCTATCAAAAAGTGCACAGCTTCTTTAAAAATCACATCTATCAGTTGTTAAAGTCTGAAAAAGATCTATAGACAGAATATCTTTAATAAAACTAGCACAATAAAAAAAATCAATTAAAATAATTATAATCCTGGAGCTGGCTGCAATTGATACAAAAACACATTTTTAAAAGCTTTTTCTATTATTAGTAGCTTCCTACATTTAGATTAAGAACAAAAATCAGGTATTCTTGCTTCCAATATGCATTTCTTTAATCATAAAACTATATTCTGAAAACAACTTACTTGTTACATCAGTTTTAATTCCTGCAAGCTTCAACAGAGGTTCAACCTTCTCATAATAGACCTGAGTAGCTTCTTTTTTGTGACTTTGTGGATTAAGGAGTATTTTTAAGGACTTTGGTCTATTTGAAAAACCTAAGATAAAAACCAAAACAGAGTTAAAAATTCTATGTCAATGTATTTTTTCTTTTACATGACACACAAGTCTGTTAGAATGTTATAGACATGTTTAAACAGCATTTGCTTTTCTTATTTGAAATTCTTATTAGAATATTCCTGAGTATGACATTATTTTAAAACCCTTTACACTTCCCTACCAGTACAATAAGTGTACCCCTCTTCAAATAAGCCATGAGTTACAACAAAGCATTTAATTCATGAAAGAAAATGGAAAGGAAAGCAACTTTGTACATGGTAGGCAATGCTAATGTGTATTTACCAAATCACAAATAATATATCAAATGTTCCTTTAGCATTTGTTTCTGGAAAAAGGCAATGGCCTGTAACAAATAGAAGGGTCCATTTCCTCTCCTTAGATAAATATGCTCATTATTGGAATTGGGCACCACAGTGACCCCAGGGCTACCAACGCCTGACCTCCTGATGAGCCCAGGGCAGAATAGAGTGAGCAGGGAAGGGCCAGTGCCAGCACCCCGAGCATTGCATGCTGGTAGCTAAAAAGGGAGTTTAGGTCAGAGTTCAAGCCTGAAAAGGGGCCAGGGGAGAAAAAACTCTTCTGGGAATTGGGAAAGCAACGCCTCTCAGCGGGGATTCGATGATAGTGCTGCCTCACAGTTGGGGTTGAGATTTGATACTACAATTTTCTGGGCTTGCAAGATGCTTATCACTTAGAACCCAGTTGGAGCAGGTGCAAAGCAAATTTTCTGTTGTTAGGAAGGGGCAGGAGGGACAGAGGAACCAAAAGAAGCTGACAACCGTTTCTTTTATGGTAAGCTGCTCTCAGAGGCCCTCATTTCAAGGTTAAAAAAGCAGTTACTAACATCTGTTTTTACTAAAACCATTACTGAAGACAAGTGAAAAATATCCACTACCTCAAAGTCAGTGTTTCATACACCAAGCAGGAACACTACTTCATTTCTCATCATACCTAAGACAATAAAATATTTCAACAGCACATATTGTTTTAGGTTTATTTTTCTCGTGAGTGAGAGGGACAAGAAGAGAGAGAATAAACTCCCTAGAGAGTGTTAACACCACGCTCCACCCCACCTTCAGCCAGCCCTGGGTTATGGATGTGCGCAATGCCCAGAATACTCAGCGTGTGTCGAATGGGAACCAGAACCCTTCCGTGTGGGTCAGCCTTACAGCTTCATGATGTACCACTGTGCCACCGCCTGGCCTGTTAGATACATTTTTTTATTTTAAGGAATCTAAGAGGAAGAGGAATAGATAAGGCCATACTGAGCTCCTAAACATCCCTCATAAAACTGTGGGAACCAGCAGTTAGCGTAATAGCTATGTCGTTGCATTCCCACATAGTCGACCACAGTTCGCGTCCCGGACCCGGTGACTTAAAACTCACGCCGGGCGCATGTGCGTGCGTGCCCAAGATCCCTAGAGGAGAATGGAGGAGAAGGGATTGCAGCGTGACCATCTCCCCTGGGGGGTGATTTCTCACTTTCTGTTTCTATGTCTCTCTCTGTCTGTCTGGCGAGTGCACGCGCCCTATAGCGAAAAAAAAAATCCCTCATAAAACTATGTCAGGTCTCTATTTTGGTGAGAAGATGCTGCCTCCCAAACACCCAGGCTAAAAGCCTCAAAATGATGCTCAATGCCTTTCTTTTTTAGCTCCTATGTGTAAATGAGCTCCCAGATTTACAAGATGGTAACCACTTGCTTCCATGCCTTCTCCCCTCTCTGGCAATCATCCTCTGACTCTGGGGCGACTGCACCGCACCCTAATTGTCTTTTTTTTTTTTTTTTTAAGAAGCTTTTGCCTTAGGGCCCATGTGCTCACCAAAGAGAGAGATAGAAACAGTAATAGGGAAAGTGAGAAATTATCCCCCAGGGGAGATGGCCATGGTGCAATCCCTCCTCCTCTACTCTCCTCCCAGGATCTTGGGCAGGTACGCCGACACATCCAGAGTGAGTTTCAAGCCACCAGGTCTGGGACTCAAACCACAGATGGCCATGGGAGAGTCCAGCAACGTAACCACTACGGCATCTGCTGGCCCCCTAATTGTCTTCTCTTCCACCACTCCTCTGGCATGGCACCTCTAATCAGGACTGCTCAATTCAAAAGCTGCCATGGCTCATCGCTGCCTGTGAATCCAGTCCAACTTCAAACACCTTCAAAGGATATTCAGAACCCTCCCCCTCTCAATCTGGAGTACTGGGAAGACAGGCAAAGTAATTAAGGTACAGCTCATACTTTGGAAGAGGAAGAAATACCTATAAATACAAACAGCACAGGACAGTGAGGCACAAAGCACAAAGGTTACGTATGAGAGGAGAGAGGCTAATTCTTACTGGGGATCTGGAAAAAGCTTCAGGAAGAAAGGAGTTCTTGAGCGGGGCTTTTGGGTTATGGTGCTTCCTCAGCCTAAGATTCCCTCCTTTGTTTCCCTCATCCGACCGTTCAGCAAAACAGCAACGGTGTGGTAAAGGAGGGAATTCTAGCATTGAGATCTTCCTGAGCAAATGCGTGAAGCTAAGTACAGAGGGTTTTTATGTTCCGTTTCAGCTCCTCATGGTGTAGACCTCCATATGACTGCCAAGTACCCAGTCTGCCAGGCCTAACTTCGTTCAAGTGGTTCTCCCTGTTCTCCATCCCTTCCTTATTTTTGTCAAAATTCAAGTACTTTTTCAAAGCCCACCTCAAATACCACTTCCTCTCTGAAGCCTTTCCAGAGCACCAACAGAATTCACCTCTCTAGCTTCTCTGTTCCTGCTTTACCACATACCTCAATTACAATTTTTATATCATTTATACAAGAAAAGATTCTAATGGGAGACCCAGCATATTGACATTTCCACTGGCCCACTCTGGGAAAATACAAAATAAAGTAAGAACAGTAACATATTGTACTATATTGAGTTTTAAAATTTTTTCCAGAGGATGTATGTACTCACCAGAAAGAGAAGGGGGTAGGGAGGAGTGAAAAAGCAACCCCTCCCCCATGGGAAATGGTCATGTAATTCCTTACCTTCCATCTCTACCTCCTCTCAGAATTCTGGACATGCACAACCGCGCGCATGCACACACACACACACACACACACACACACACACCATGTTTCTCAAGCCACTGGGCCCGGAACTCCAACCACTCAGTCAGCTGTGTGGGATCCAGCTGCTGTAACCACCATGGGTTGACCCTACATTGAATTTTTTAAATATTCAACTCCATGAGCAAAACGAACATGAAACAAACAAATACATAAAGGATGAGGGAAAATACCGTCCTATTGTAAAACGATAAATATAGGAGAAACTATAGAGTAAAAAATGTACTCCTTTTGCCATCATAATGATAACTGACTCAGGCAAGATTCAGTGATGGACGTTTGGTGAGAGTCGGTTGGGAACAAAATACTTACATATTCTTAATCTCTGTATCTCCTCATTACTCTAACCACAAAGAATAACACCATGTAAAGGAGACTGAAGAGATGACAAACACAACGTGTGATTATGGATAGGGCGAAAAATGCTATAAAGGACAGTGTTGCTTCCTTTTAACCAGGAAGGTGTAAGCAGGTAAATCTAGGACTTACTTTGATCAAAACATGACAGGAACAAGAAACTTAGTCTAAGCAGCAGGGGATAGAAGTCAAATCAAATATTCAGATAAATTAAACTTACTTTGCCTGGTAACTTTTTTTTTTTTTTTTGAGAGCTTTTTTTCTATAGGGCACATGTGCTCACCAGAGAGACAGAAAGAACCCTCTACCCCCACCCCAGGGAGATGGCCACACTGCAATCCCTTCTCCTCCGTTCTCTTCTTGGAATCTGGGGCATGCATACACAAGCACTGGCATGAGTTTTAAGTAGAGAACTCGAACCATGGTCAACTATGTGGGAGCTCAGTGATGTAACCATTATGCTGGCCCCTTACCTGGTAAATTTATTGAATTATTCTGCTTCATTTATCAAGCATGGGGAGTCCCAGGAAGGCCGGTGTTATCATAACAAACAATTATTATTTTCCCCTCATCTATACTCTTTCACTAATGAATAACTGCATGCCTGCTGGATGCCACACTGAGTTTTAGAAAATGAGACTCTATCCGTAAATTTAGAAATCCTCTGTCCTATGTGCCATTTTAATCACAGAAAACAAATAGAATTTACAGTCAAAGGAAATAGGCTCTAAAGATAACAATGAGGCTTGTAGTAGAAGAGAGAAGGCAAATGTGGAAGTGACTTCTTAGCCCAGGAAGGAAGGGAAGATCATCTAGAGCCTTGTAGGCATTTACAAAGACTTTGGCTTCCGCTGAGTAAGAGAAACATTGTGAATTTCGACCAATGTAGTAATAAATATGGAGGTGGCAAGGGATCACACAGGCTGCTGTATGGAAAGCAGACGGTGGGAGGGCTGACAAACTTAACAGTTGCAGTATGCTGGATGAGAAGCAATTATACTTGGACTGGAATAGCACCAGTGAAAGTGGTAAGAGAAGTTATATTCTAGATATATTGTGAAGGTGGAGATAATAGGATTTGTAGACTCTGGATGTAACGTGCAAAAGAAAAGATTAAAGAGGTATTCAAATATGAGTCTGGATAAGAAGAAAACGAAGATGGATAAGAACTAAAGGCAAGTAAGAACTAAATGTCATAGAATTGATGAATTGTGGTCTCACAGGGGTTGAGGAATTTTTAGGAGATGGCAGAGTAGATCAGGTAAGCAAGGAAGTCAGAAAGCAACGGGTAGAGGGTCGGATGCTTAAAATCGATACCAAGAGAGTTACTGGTAATGACAATATCAGGATCTGATAAATTGGCATATTCATCAGAACACCTGAAGGGCTTCTTAGAACACAACTCTGAGCTCCAGCCCAAGTTTTGGGCTCAGTAGTCTGGGATGGGATCTAGAATTCATCTGTATAACACACGCTTACAGATGATGCTGATGGTGTGCTTCAGAGACACTTTGGAAACTACTGCCTTAG